ATATTTGTATTTGGGAAAAATGCTTTGTGTTCCTCAAACTGCTCAGTCCCCAGAGTGAAAAAATAGATCTCCTCACAGTTGTTTCACATTTCACTTTGGTAATTTAAAGGTTAGACAAAATATATTATATTAAACTGGATCAAATCTTTGATGAATGTATATTTGGGAGAGAAGAGAGGGGACCAGCCTTTGCTCAAATGTGTGTGCATGTTAAACCATGGCTCAGCTCAGGCTGTTTTATCCAGCTGTGATCTTGTAAAGCTCCGTGGACTTCAGTTTGAAGTGTATCACCATTTAGCCTTACAAGCACGGACGCGGGAAGGGGGCTGCTGAGGGGGCTGCAGCACCCCCATCTGCGAGGCTCCACTAGCACCCTCACCCCCAAACGCGGCGCACCTTCAGTGTTAAGCGCGCCACAGTTTCTCCGCTGCGAGGCTCCACGAGAACCCCCCCCCCACAACTCTGACTGACTTCCCGCGTCCCTACTTACAAGCACATGAAAGTGTGTAACCGTGAGTGCAAATGAAAGCCCCTCTTATCTCCTCTTTCTAATTTCCAAAGACAAACTTTCCCTCAGAGGAACAGGATATGTTAGTGACTCCAACCGGCTCACCCCTTCCTGTATGGACTTCACGCTTGGCACCCAGCCCTTCAATTCTGATAAACTAAATCAGTCACCAAGCAAAAGTGAAATCAAACACTTAAATTACAAGATGATTTATGTTAGAATAAATAATACCACATCCTTTACATCGTGCCGAATGAAAAGGAGAAAACGTGTAATCAAAGAGGACATGTTTGTGCTTTTAGAGAATCAGGACCATCTATTATATGCAGAATGGTGTGTGTTTTATTTAAATGATGGTTGGACATAAGGATTGGAACTGATTAACAAAGGCAGACATTTTAATGAGTTGCAGATTTACTCTATTTCTTGTCGTCAGACCAGGTGATCTCGTAGTCGCTGAAGGCACTCTTCAACTTCTCCGCAGACACAGAATGATCTGCTTTACCAAACGCCTGGAAATAAGTAAAAGCATATAACCATTAACATCACATGATATAGTATTTGTAGTGTATTTGATTCAGCTCTTAATGCATTTCCAATCAAATGAACTTACAGTTGACTCTCCAAACACCCTCAGTTTTTTCTCTTGGCTGTTGTGCTCTATCTTCCCTCCTCCAAGACATTTACACTCCATCCCCAAGGACTCCATAGCTGGATTGACCTTCTCAAATATATGATCTGTAAATAAATATAATCATTAATCAAAACATGCAATCTGGTTGTTGAAAAAAACAAAACACTTTACAGTAATTCCTGTCTCATATGTTCTCTTTTATGGACGTTGGCTCCAGTATTTGCAATGCACTATAGTTGCAGTACATACAATACTGGTCTTTGCATGATATTTGCACCTAAAGTACAGGTGTCAACTCTGGTCACAGCTTTTTCATTTGCAGCTGATCTGACACACTCTGCAACAAACTAAGGTTATGAACTTACTGTGATACTCTGCACTTTTTGTGCCTCGGACTATATCTTTATGTACATCCCCATCTTTCACTTTCACTGTGAGCAGAATGTACTTAAAGGTTCCCTCTGAGTCAATCTCTACCACGGGGATTTTAGCCAGGGCGTCTGCCATTGCAGCTGAAGTTATGGAGAAAGCTCCGGACAGTCTGGCACTGAGCAGGGGTCTACCGAAGACAGACAGCAACAGGGCTCCTCACGAATTACTTTATTAGGATCGGGACTTCTATTTCCTGTCTTAAAGAGACAGACAACCTGCACGCTATCGCCATCACTGTGCAGGATAATGCAGGCGGCCCCGTGTGGCCAAAAGAGGGAACTGCTACACAAACCATAACACCTCCTATCGATAATGTGGATGTACCAAAAAAGTATATGTAACTTCATACATAAAACGTAACAAAAAGTACTTCACAAATCAAAAACCAAATCAAAGCAATACTAACCCTCCTCCCAGTATAGAGCAACACATGACTTTTTGATAATTAAAAACTGAATTTACCAACAGAAGACAATGAACAAAGGACTAAATAAAACAAGTATAAATATATTTTAATTAAAAGGCAAATTAAAAAGTTGGTTCTTGAGTTGGCTCTTAATAAATATGAATATATCTGCCAAGAAGTACAAATCTGAGGTACTTCAGTTAACATATCTTCTTCTTAAAAACTAATCTTTATACTTTTAACCCACTTGATACTACATTAGTTATAGCTAATTTGCAGATTAAGGTTATTTATACAAAAAATCTCAATAGACTAACAAATTATAATATATTTGTACAGGACAAGCTACACAGCAGTATCTTAAAAAATTAAATAAGCTCAACTTTTACAACATTTAAGTGACAAACACATGAATGCATCAATAATTATAGTAAACTAATTATATTTGTCTTATTCTCAAATTGGCAATGCTACTTCTAGTATATTTGTATGCTTATATACTTTTGTACTTTTACTTAAGTATGATTTTGAATGCCCGAAATGTACTCGTCACTGAGTATTTATACACCGTAGTATTGCTATTTTTACTTGAGTAAAAGATCGGAGTACTTCTTCAACCTCCGGTATCAGCACAACGCAGTTTATATTTGATCAGATCAACAATCGACTGTTGGCTAGTCCATTTGTCCCCCAGGACTCCATTTGTTTTATCTTTCTATTAGAATTGTTATTTCCTGTAGTGAGAGAAGATTTTCCGCTGGTGTCTATCAGGAAGGTCAGAGGTCAGAGACGGAGCTGGTGTTAGTGTTGTAGTATTTGGGTGAGGATGGATGCTTTTTACTACAGGTGCTTGAACCTTTGTTTTCCAGGATGCCCTTCTCTTTAACCAGTAATCCATCATGCTTTGTTTAAAAAAATAAATAATTAAATCATCCAAAATTGCATTAGACAGTTAAAGTACAAACCTCTACTTTTCTGCTTTATCACGCCAAATAAGACATTGATGTAAATAGTAGTTTTGTTTAAATTGAATGTGATTAATACATATCAAATTGATTTATAATTTCATAGGCGTACTGTAGTAAAACAGTAGCAGAAAATGTAGTAATATTATCCTTTTCAAAGGATTAAAATTGCTTTGCTCGGCCTAACCCACCTCTTAAATGCATGATTAGCTGCAGGAATAGATGCTTTTATATAGTTTAAAGATATACATGGAGACTCAACATTAATAGGCATTTCTGTTAATCCGCCGATTGAGCCATCTTGGCAAATGTTCAACTTTAGTTTCTAGTCAGGTGTAATTACAGCTACAAAACAAATACAAAAACATTAACACAGGAACAGCAGTGCTGTACTAATATAAAAATACATTTTAGGAATAATATGGACAGGAAGGACAACAATGAACACATTCACAACCCTAACCCTAACCCTATGTGACAACCAGAAGAAAATTCAAACACAACACAAAGCCCTTTAGGGTCACTATTGATTATCAGATGAGGATCAGAGCACAAACATATATTAGCATCTCTTTGGGATGTTCTTAACAAGTCTGAAACCGAGTCCATTGAGTCTTGTTCTGTATGCGTTAGTTTGCATTCTTCTCAAACAGTTAAAAGGTGTGAAGCAACAGTGGTTCCTCTCCTCTGCCCGGGTCGGAGAGGAAGGATGTGAACTGTCACTTCTTGAAACACAGACAGCCTGCAGGCGCCTCTGCTCCTGCGGCACACATTTCCCGTCTCTGGGCAGTCATAAAATAGTACATTTAAAGTGTCTGTTTGCTGCTATTTCATTGTTTTTTCCTTGATGTTATTTATTTAGAAGAGCACATCCCAGGACATGTTAATGTGTTTATTTGAAGTGTGAAGAGCATAGTCCATGTGTCATAGTCTGTTGGCACTTTGTGTGCTTCTACTAATAGGCATCAACTCATGAAGACTTCACTTCTCTTCTTTCATTTGGTGGCAATTATCTAAAAGGTACTTTTCTGAATAAGGGGAAACAGTGGAAATATCTCAGGCACTCTAAATCTCTCTCAGGCACTCTTATCAGCTCACATGAGCTCACAGCTTTCAAAACTGGAATTTCCTTTTCATTGCCTTTCACTTCAGTGTGTGTTCTGCACGCTCTCCTCTCTTCCCCAGGAAACGTTTGCTTACGTTATGCTACTTATTTTGTCTTTGCTATGTGTGTGTTAATTTGCCAAGTTCCCAGGAAGGCCCATAAATAAATTATCAGTGCGTTAGAGCGTTTTTTTAATTAAGTTTGGATACTTTATGAAACTGAAAATACAGATTCAACTAAAATACTGAACATGTTATTTATGTCAAAGTGTGATCAGTGGTATGTATCAAAGTGTAGTCTGGTTAGAGACTGGTTGTTATTTAGGCTCCCCCATGCAACTGCAACATTTGCGAATAACGAGATATTAGTATATCTGGTTTTATTGTAAATATATTTTACAGTAAAGATAATGTGTGAATTTTGAAAGGCATGTCTCAAAAATCTTTAAATGTATATAAAACATCAAAAATAAATGTAGAATGGCTCCTTTTAATGTGTAGGATAATTGTATATTTCACATTACTTATCAAAACATTGTATTTTATATATATATTAAGGACACCACGTGTTTTGGATGAAAAACTAAAGTAACTCTATCTCAATTGTATGTAGTGTAATAAATATACACCATTGTAAAGTACAACTACTTCAAAATTGTACTTAAATGTAGTAATTAAGTAAATATGATGGTCTCCGGTGAGAATGATAGTAAAAGGAATAATTGAAATTCCAATAATAACTGAACATTTCTCCTGAAGCCAAGGATGTTTTGTGCGAGAGTGAGGAAGAGAGAGAGAAAGTTTCCAAGGACCCCCGGTGGGGAGGAGGGGGAGGTTGGAATTTCCACTGAAATCCCGCTTGTGATCAGGGCTTCCAGGAAAAGGGGGACCAGGCTGATGAAGGGTATAAAAGGCAGGCATCGCAGCTCATACAACTCAGAATCATTTCATCCTCAGACGTGCTCAGACTAAAGAAATACTCAGAGTCTCCTGAAGGTTCGCACATATACCACTTAAAATGGTGAGTGTGGAGCTTTGTAAAAGAGTTGTCTTTACTTCAAACGCCTTCATTCTTTGTCTTTACTCAGTGTTGCATTTATTTCTCTTACTTGATATTTTTTACTTTATCCTTACAGGAATTCTTCTTTGGATTACTTCAAACTCGCAGGTCGAAGTCCTCATGGATAAACCTTACCTTTCTTTGTTCAAGTATGTTCATCCAGAATCACACTTTCCATTTTTATTTTCTACTTACTTTTTTAAATGTATCCTTATTACACTTCTAATCTAACTTGTCCGTCCTCAGTGCTGTGCATGTGGACAAGTGTCGAGTGCTGGTCCTACTTCTACTCCAACGACACAATGTCTTGGTCAGATGCTCGAGCCTGGTGCAAGGTCAATTACACGGACATGGTGGCCATCCAGAACCAGGAGGAGATCACCCATCTCAACAGCTGGCTGCCCAGGAAAAAAAACTACTACTGGATCGGGATCCGCAAGGTCAACGATGTCTGGACCTGGGTCGGAACCAACAAGACTCTGACAGAAGAGGCAACCAACTGGGCAAAGAGAGAACCAAACAATGGAAAGCGTTTGGGGTCGAATGAAGACTGTGTAGAGATGTACGTTCAGAGGGAGCAACAGGCGGGAAAATGGAACGATGAAAGGTGTGGGAAGAATAAGACCGCTCTGTGCTACACAGGTGAGCAAATGTTAGGAATTAGGATACACCACAACAGGTTATTGTTAATAAACCTGATTCTGAATCTACAAGAGCTGCTAATTTTTGCTGCCGTAGTTATTTTGCGTGGCTTTTAAATTCAAAAAGACTACAAGTTATATTAAAGTATTGCTTCTTTCCCCAGCTGCCTGTAAGAACGACTCGTGCCAGCATGGAGAGTGTGTAGAAACCATCAACAGCCACAGGTGTGCTTGCTTTGAAGGCTTTTACGGAGACCAGTGTGAGGATGGTAAGTAAATGCTAAAGTCCTTCAAATCTACATTACGTTAAGTCCTTTACAGCCAGGTCCTGATATCTAATTGCGTCTTGTTTTCTTTGTTGGCAGTTGTTGAGTGTAATGAAGAGGAGGTGACTGTTCCAGATAAAGGAAGTGTTCATTGCACTCACACAAATGGAAACTTCTCCTACGACTCCTCGTGCCAGTATTCCTGTGAGGAAGGATACCAGCTGAGTCCGTCCAGACCCCTGAGGTGCACTGCGTCCAAACAGTGGTCGGAGCAGCCTCCTACATGTGAACGTGAGTTAAGCTGCAAAAATAATCATATTGGTATTGTGTTTTCAAGTAATTATATTCGGAAAAACAAAATTGTATTTTCACAACCAAGGAGTCTAAAGTGTTTTTGATGGTTTTGTCGTCAACAGTGGTTCAATGTCAGCCGATGTCGACTCCAGAAAGGGGATCCATGACGTGCTCCGATCCCCTCGGCTCCTCCAGCTTCAGCTCCACATGTGTGTTTGCCTGTGATGAAGGCTATGAACTCGCTGATACACCTCAAAACACTCTGCAATGTGAAGCATCAGGAATATGGAATGCCTCACAGCCGTTTTGTGTTGGTACGTACATGTTTTTATCTCGCAAGACTCTCTTAGTATCCATTATACTGCTTATTTGTTTTCAAGTCTGTTATTAAGAGGGGAAAGCTTTATAATGTTATTAAAAGGCTCCTGTTGACCTGTTCTTTCCTCCTTCTGTTATTCAGCTGTCCAGTGCCCTGATCTCCAGGAGCTAGATAACGGCCTTTTGAACTGTGGAGACGATGCAGATGTGAAGTTCAGCTTCGGAAACACCTGCAGCTTCAGCTGTGCTCCGGGCTACCAGCTGCTGGGAGCCAGCAGGGTGACGTGCACGTCTGCAGCTGAGTGGAGTGAGAGGACGCCTCAATGTGAAGGTGAGGACGCAGCTTAAGTTCACTCCAAACTACTTTTATGTTTTAAGCCTTTGTGACAAACTTTTAACATGTGCTTTTTTACTTTCTTGTGTTAGCCATCACTTGCCAGAATCCAGAGGGAGCTCACATCATCACAAATTGCAGTCGACCTGTGAATGACCTGCGACCAGCCTCCACCTGCAGCTTCACCTGTGCAGCAGGCTTTGAGCTGCAGGGAGCACACAGCACTCTGTGTTCTGAGGACGGGCAGTGGAGTGATGCCATACCTACCTGCAAAGGTAAGGAAGCCTTTGTTCACACACATCTATGCTTGCACGATTTGCTTTTCTTGGCTTTGTCATGACATCTCATAATCTTTATTTTCAGCTATTGGATGTCCTGCCCCTGAGATCCCATCAAGTGCCCAGATCAGCTGCAGCCCTTCTCTGTCGTCACCTGTTTCTGCCGGGACCCCCCATCCACTTGGTATGGTCTGCATGTTCAGCTGTGATGAAGGCCATGAGCTGACAGGTGCACTCAGCATGGAGTGTGCAAATCCAGGCCAGTGGACCTCCACACCTCCAAACTGCACAGGTTTGCACATTATACTTAATATATATCATGATACCTACTTATTCTACATGCATTGGTTAGAGTTGAGATCTCCTTTATCAATATGTGATGGTTCACATCTAAATTCGTACTGTTTTCTCCCACAGTAGTGAGATGCCCTCAGCTCGAGGCTCCTGAAAACGGCCATGTCAACTGCTCCAACAGTGATCCAGTATTCAACTCACAGTGCTCCTTCGCCTGCAATCAAGATTTCTCTTTAGACGGACATGACTTGCTGACCTGTGACCGTAATGGCAATTGGACCGGAGAAACACCCACCTGCAAAGGTAAAACAGGAACAAATGTTAAAAGAAACGTGAATGTAATAGCAATTTTTAAATACAAACGTTTAAAAGGACTATTTATTCACATTTTATCATGTTTCCTCAGCTCCCGAGTCTCAGTTGGCTGCAATTACCGGTGGTGCAGCAGCAGGGGGCGCTCTTTCACTAACTGGTCTGTCTTTGGCGCTGTGGATCCTGAAACGACTTAGGCAAAACGCCAACAAGTTTGAGCTGAACAGGTAAGCATTCAACACTCTTAAATCATACAATTATATATTTTCTAAAGGCAAATGTTGAATTGCAATGCTCATTTTCTTTGTTTGTCTTCTCTTACAGCAACTCGGACATAGAGACTCCTCCACAAACCTACAGAAACAGCATCGACAGCCTCATATAAAACACATATTAAGACCATTTCTAACATAACATAGTGAGTGACCTGTCGTAGTAATGTGAATAATATGTATACACAACTTAAAGAGCTACATACAGTATGCTGAGAGGAAATGTTTTTTTAGATCTTAGCAATTGATTACTGTACTGTTATTTCTATAACGTCATGATTTCCTCTGTGATGTTTAGAAATGTATTTCCTCCCAAGGGGAGTTCATATGGAACACATTGTTCTACAGCCTATGAACATGTACGAGAACTGGCTCTTTTTATATTGCTGTAAATGTTACAAAAGGTTGCCGGTGAAATGCCATGTCTTTGAAGAACTGTGAATATTTTGAATATATAGATTTCAGTATTTATGTTCTATTTATTTACCAGATAGTTATTGCATTTGAGATTCTTATTCATATGTCTGTATATTTAAAGCAGTGCTGTGTTTTATTCTTAATAAAAAGTCAAAATATAATTTGTGTTTGCTCGTTTTTATGCATCTTCCAGTATTATGAACGATGTCTATCAGTTAAGAAACATAGATAAACTGTCAATTGTTTCCTAACACTGATACACGGGAACAAAGGTTCAGCCGTTAACTCCACACACCACACCAACTTTTCTGCCAATTAATGCTGACTCTGCAGGACACCATGTATTTTTTCATTTTTTACAAAAACAAAACAGACCACTTTTCTGTTTGTGTCACCTTCATCACAATGGTCGGCACGAAGGTAGTTATATAACAGTAAGATTGTGAAGCAGGAAGGGCTATATTGCTGCAGTAAGCGGTTTGACATATCATCACCATTGTTGTTCCACCAAATGTATATTCTACATGTCAGCACTTCAGCTGAACCACAAATAGATCTCATATCTGCTGCAGAATTAAGGCAGCATGGTCATTTGTTGCTGTCATGACTTAAAAACATTTAAGGTGAAAGCTGAACTCAAAAAATTAAAATTAAATGCACTTTTCGAACATTAAATAATTTAATCATGTCACAGTAGAGGCACAACATGAAATATGAATGTTATTATGACCATAATATGTGCTCTTTATTTGTATTTTTTTAAACATTTTTTTGTTTGGATCACATTTCAACTTCAGTGTAAATATACATATGTAGTTAAATAGTTTTACAGAGTGGTCCGTCTTTTCTCTTTTTCTTGACAAAACAACAACAATAAGCACACAAGAACATGGGGTGTTTCCTTTTCAATATAAAACATTGACATTATAGATCATTAAATAAAATATTCAAACAGTTAAAGTGGACCTATCATGCTAT